AAAGAATTGACTCTAAGAGTGCAAATTTTGTGTTCATGAAAAACTATTAAAGAAAATATTACAATATTAAAGAACTGTGCTTGTTAATTTGATGAAAACTTTTTAAATATCCAGTGCACTCACATCAGAATAACGTATAGATTTGTCGTTAGAATAATCGATAAATCTAAAAAATAATCGTTAGATTAATCGATTAGAAAATAATCGTTTGGTACAGCACTACAACTAATCATTTAAAGTTAAATTTTGAAAAACTGCAGTTAAAAGCTAAAATTAACAAAACTGTAGCTAAAAGGAGCATAATATATTTGCAAAGGACTGGAGGTGTATTTATATGGGAAAATTTTCTGTGAATAAAATAAAATTTTTCAAAAAGTGTACTAGTCACAAATGCTAAAATATAACATAACCAACTTTGTTATGAAGACAGAAAGAACTCATCAATAACACACCAACTCTCATTCTCTGTTTTAAACCATATGGCTGCAATGTTCAGGAAGTATAAACGTACAAAACTGGATCAAACATTCACTCAATCAGTCACACAATTCCCTTCAAATAGTTAAAATTACAGAAAAGACTGAAGGGCAGAAATTAGAAAGAGAAAAACAACAATGTGAATGTTCTACCCTGACACAACCACGAAGGTACAGCTGCTACATGTGTGGAGCGGTGGGCTGCACGCCCGGGGGAGCAGATTGAGGGGTGGGGGTGTTAAGGTTCTTGCTCAAGGGCCCAGAATTGGGGGATTCAAATCAGTGACCTCTCAGTCAAAAGCTCGCTTTCTCCAACCTCTGCACCACCTCTCCCCAAAATCCATTTTTATTATTTATTCATTATTTAAACTCTGTATATTTTTAACCTTAAATTCAGACAAAAATAAACAAAGAAATAACAAAAACTAAATAAATAAATATAACGTCGTGCAGAAAACAAAATTATTTTATTTTCTGTTAGGAAATATAGGACTTGAGTTTTTGTCCAAAAATATTTAATAAAAAAATGTAATGAAATGAAAATAATTAAAATGAAAATGATTCTGTCATTTGAACAAACACAGAACGGACCCACTGGAAACCAAGAACCTGGCATCAGATCCGGTCCACAGCTCTGTCCTGGAGAACCTGAAGCAGCTTCTGCAGAAGTGGCAGTGGGAAACTGGAGACCCCTGGGTCTGTGGCCCAGACTATGTCCTGGAGGACAAACTGGAGCCACACTGCAGACCCCTCTACAATGGACTCTGATGGTTCTTTCGCTTAAAAAGTGCTCTAACAGTGAATGCATGGAATTAAATGTCTATATTTTTGTAAATCTATGCTGTTAATGATGAATAACTTGAGTTAGTCTGATTTTATAAAAACATGTTTTACCCTGTAAGATATAGTCAGACTTTCTATCATCACGACTGGCTCATAAAGCTGCAGCATAGAAAGCCAACATGATTACACACCCTTTAACTGGTTTTATTGTTCAGCTAAACAGATTAAGACTGATCAGCTAATTACGAGCTGGCAGGCTGAGTGGTTCATGATGCGTAGTTAGCCACTGAGGTCCAATAATCAATCTTCAGAAGGGGTTACACTGCTGGTGGTCTTTAAGGCTCATCTCTACAAAGAAACATGAAACATCATCTACGGCTGAAAGTGCAACATTACAACCAGTTTCTGTTCATGAAAAACTTTTTCAGTTTCTATTGTATTCATAGTTTTTATTTGATTTGGATTTGTTTATAAATGTGCTTAGAAATAAATGTTTCTTGTCTTTACGCGTCACACACCTACCAGAGCATCAAAAACCGATCAATTAGGTCTCTCCCCCCACCACCCCTCTCTCTATTCCATAAACTGATCATTATCCGCCCACCTCAGCTCTGATTTGACAAAAGTCTTGTCACGATAAACCTCACCCATTCAGCCTATATAAGACCCGGAACGTGTTCCCAGAGTCAAATAAAATAAAAAAAACTGACCTGAAAAGCTGCGTTTTCTTCCCGTGCGTAAAACCAAAAACAGTGCCAAGACGATCCCAAACATGGAGAGGTCGGTCAGATTCGCCGTGGTGTGTGTCGGAGTGTCCCTGCTCATCTCCTGTCAGTCCGTCGAAGCCTGGTACAAGCAGTCCACCGGGCCCAGCTACTACTCGGTGGGTCGCGCCTCGGGTCTGCTGTCCGGGATGAGGAGGTCTCCGTACGTCCGCAGAGCCGAGAGCGAAGAGACGGTGACGGAGAGCGGGGAGGTGGCGGGTAACAACGTCATCTCAGAGGCGAACAGGCAAATATCCATCCTTAAAAACATGGTAAGTACTGGTGAGGTGTTAGACAAACTTTAAGTTAAAAAAAAGTATTTATTTTACAGCAATGAGAAGGGGCGCGCGTGAAACTCCTGTCCCATTCAGCACCAGAGACTGTTATGTCTATATAGCTCAGGACAGACTTTACACTGTAAATATAAAATAAACAAAATGTGTATGTTGTGCTTTGTTTGCACGACAAGGCAGGTGAAAATAACTGGACGCACTTTTGTGCGTTTTTTATGTTTATTTGTGCGCTTTTACGCACGGCTCGTGCGTAAAAGCGCCAAATTGTTCACTGAAGGTCAAGAAACAGACAAAATTTGGAAAACTTAAAATGAAAATTTAAACTAGAGTCAACATTTCTAGGGAGAAAACTTTGACACAAATGTGTTTTTTTCCCTCAGTAATGAAAAATGATTTGGGATTTCAAACTTTTCCATGCAGTCATTTCTCTCCTCACTGATCTCCTGCAGGCCATCTGCCTGAAAGACATCTCTCCAAACTTGAAGAGCTGCGAGCTGGTGCAGGACGGGTCGGGCACCTTCCAGTGTAAGGCGGACGTCTTCATCACTCTGGACTCACTGGACTGCCTGTCCGCGTGAGAAGCGCTCGCGGACGCGTCTCGTCATCCCCCCAAAACCGAGGAGAGCCTCTCTGGAAAAGCGTGAAATAAAACCAAACAAATGGGAGGATGGTGGGCCAGTGGAAAACCTGCTGATTGTTAATGACGGACCGCTGCGGATTCTGAATGTTTTCTCCTTAAAACAAATAAATGTTCCTTTTTGTTTTGGTTGAGTAGACAGCAGTGTAAAAAAAAAAAGGCAGGAAATTTAGTTGAATTTTTGCTGCAGGAGCCTTTCTGTTTATTTAAATTAAATGTAATATTAAATGTCCAGAGGGTTCACTGCAGCTCAGATTTCCTGGAAATTAATTTTATTTATTAAAATGAACAAACCAATAACCTGCTGTGTGGCTGTGATTTGTCTTGGTTGATCAATCAAAACAGATAAAAGTTATTTTTCACTTTTATTAAACTGCAGATTTACTGCACTTACACATTAACAGTTTGATCATCTATAAAACTTCACACAGAAGCTCCACATCAAAAGAGTGAAACTTTTCACAAAGAAAGTAAATCACACCAGTTTGTTCTAAAGCCGTTTGGGGTGTTTCTTTCCCTCTCCTATCAACATATACAGTGGGGAAAATAAGTATTTAGTCAGTCACCAATTGTGCAAGTTCTCCCACTTAAAAAGACGAGAGAGGCCTGTAATTGACATCATAGGTAGACCTCATCTATGAGAGACAAAATGTGAAAAAAAATTTGAGAAAATCATTTTGTCTGACTTTTAAAGAATTTTTTTGCAAATAATGGTGGAAAATAAGTATTTGGTCACCTACGAACAAGCAAGATTTCTGGCTGTCACAGACCTGTAACTTCTTTTTTAAGAGGCTCCTCTTTCCCCCACTCATTACCTGTATTAATGGCACCTGTTTGAAGTRGTTAACAGTATAAAAGACACCTGCCCACAACCTCAAACAGTCACACTCCAAACTCCACCATGGTGAAGACGAAAGAGCTGTCGGAGGACACCAGAAACCGAATTGTAGACCTGCACCAGGCTGGGAAGACTGAATCTGCAATAGGCAAGCAGCTTGGTGTGAAGAAATCTACTGTGGGAGCGATAATCAGAAAATGGAAGACATACAAGACCACTACTAATCTCCCTCGATCTGGGGCTCCACGCAAGATCTCAGCCCGTGGGGTCAAAATGATCACAAGAACGGTGAGGAAAAATCCCAGAACCACAAGGGGGGATCTAGTGAATGACCTGCAGAAAGCTGGGACCAATGTTACAAAGGCTACCATCAGCAACACACTACGACGCCAGGGACTCAGATCTTGCAGTGCCAGACGTGTCCCCCTGCTTAAGCCAGTCCATATCCAGGCACGTCTGAAGTTTGCTAGAGAGCATTTGGATGTTCCAGAAGAGTATTGGGAGAATGTCATATGGTCAGATGAAACCAAAGTAGAACTATTTGGTAAAAACACAACTCGTCGTGTTTGGAGGAAAGTGAATGCGGAGTTGCATCCAAAGAACACCATACCAACTGTGAAGCATGGGGGTGGCAACATCATGCTTTGGGGCTGTTTCTCTGCAAAGGGACCAGGACGACTGGTCCATGTACATGAAAGAATGAATGGGGCCATGTATTGTGAGATTTTGGGTGCAAACCTCCTTCCACCAGCAAGGGCAATGAAGCTGAAACGTGGCTGGGTCTTTCAGCATGACAATGATCCCAAGCACACTGCCAGGGCAACAAAGGAGTGGCTTCGTAAGAAACATTTCAAAGTCCTGGAGTGGCCTAGCCAGTCTCCCGATCTCAACCCCATCGAAAACCTTTGGAGGGAGTTGAAAGTCCGTGTTGCCCCCCGACAGCCCCAAAACATCACTGCTCTAGAGGAGATCTGCATGGAGGAATGGGCCAACATACCAGCAACAGTGTGTGCCAACCTTGTGAAGACTTACAGAAAACGTTTGACCTCTGTCATTGCCAACAAAGGATATACAACAAAGTATTGAGATGAACTTTTGTTATTGACCAAATACTTATTTTCCACCATTATTTGCAAAAAAATTCTTTAAAAGTCAGACAAAATGATTTTCTCAAGTTTTTTTCACATTTTGACTCTCATAGTTGAGGTCTACCTATGATGTCAATTACAGGCCTCTCTCATCTTTTTAAGTGGGAGAACTTGCACAATTGGTGACTGACTAAATACTTATTTTCCCCACTGTACATCAAACTGCATCAGCCATTTTTATATTCTAATTACTACCAAAGCCTGTGTGATCCTTTAAACTCAGAAAAAGCCACAAATCACATAAAGGAGGCAGCGTTCTGCCTGAGTTTGGTATGTTCTGCAATCATCTCACAGGTAAAAGGAGGGAAATGAAAGCTGAGTCAGGAGGACTCCTTTGGGATGCTTCTCATTTAAATCTAATAAGTTTCTCAGCATCACTGCTGACAGATTAAGAGGCCTGCGGGGCGCAGCGTCTGAAGTGAGCACAAGAAGGTGTGTTTTTAACAGAGATAACGCCTCATTAGACGGCTGTGATGTGCAGCAGAGACACAGAGAGGGATGAACCCAGGATGGTGTGCATGAGTGACTCCTCCACTCAGCCCCTCTCTCTCCTGAAGCAGGGACACATCAACACTCTCAGCTTGATTATTGTGGAACAGTAAATAAAACATTTATCATCATCATCGGCAAAGTTCAAAAGGCTCAAATTAAACGCAAACATCTTCCAGGAGCTGCGTCGTCTTCAAAGCAGTATTTTTTTCAGATGTGAAAGCAGGCGACAGATCAGGGAAAAACGACCATGTTCTGTTTATCACAGATTGTTTCAGTCTTTAAAATATCCCGATTTTAAGTCCAGGTGACTGTTAGCTACAGGAGCGACACGGCTTCCAGGTTCTCTGTAATTATCATGTCCATCACCACCTGGAAGACGACCTGGATGTTGGACGTGTCCGTTGCCGTGGTGAAGTGGTGATAAACAAGCTTGCTGGGCGTTTTGTTGAGGGAGACGAAGGTGGCGGCGATGAAGCGGGCAGCAGAATCCACGTCGCAGTCCGCACCTGGAAAACAAAAGTATCAGGAGGGTTGGTTTATTTATTTCTCTGCAAGAAAAGCCTCAGAGTTTAACCAGTAATTCCCACGACTTTATGATCTCCCAACAGAAATTAATAATTAGCTTTTTGTGTTGATCAGAGTTGTAAAGTAACTAAGTAAAAATTGTTACTGTACTTAAGTAGAATTTTTGTTTATCTGTACTTTACTTGAGTAATTATATTTCAGC